CATTTTTTTCATAAAATAATACGAAAATCCAACAATTGCAAAATATTTCAAAGAATTAAATTTAAATTTCACATATTTTAAATATCATAGAATATATTAAATTATTCAAAAGTATTATTAAATTCTTTAACGCATAGAATATATTATGCAGACTAGAGAGCTCACATATTTTTTTAATATTCTTATATTTTATTATATTACTAGAATTCAAAGATTTCTAAGAATTATTTATACTTCGAGTTCCGAAAAATTATTTAACAAAAAAATATCGTACACAAAAAGAACGAAAATTTTTTTCAGATTTAACTAAATTTTTAGATATTTTAACAAAAGTTTTGTTAAAGTATCTAAAAATTTAGCTATATTTGGAAATAATTTTGTTGGATCATCAAAATAATAACGTGGAAATTTCAAATGTGATGAGTAATACTGCAAAATGGTTTGACATTATAATGACCAGTTTAAACATTTTACTATATTTTATTATATCGATGATCAACAAAATTATTTTCATATCTGTATCTAATTAAATTTTTCTATAGCAAAATCGTTTTCTCTATGTATAGGATAGTGTTATTACGCGAATGATTTTCATAAGAATTATTTAAGATGCAATTTCACTAACGCATCTATAGATCACATAAAAATGCGATATGCATCCAATTTTTACACAGGGCCTCTTGGCTCGGTTCCCGATACTGACAGTCAATATTGGGGAGGCGCGGATTCCGGTATTTCGGGCGGTAGTTCAGGGGCCGGCAGTCCTACCGCTTCAACACCACCCCTTATTGAAGAGATTGGCGTTCAAGAATCAAGTTACTCACCTCTGCAGCAATACGTGCATCCTTCGGCCGGTCAGCATTACACTAACTTACCATACCTCCAAGGGCAACAGGAAACGTCACTCCACCATCATCATCATCATTCACATCATCATCATCATCATCAGCATCAACCTAGTCATCGACGTGAACATGAGTTTGTGAGCGCTCAGATAAGCCAGCAGGTTGTCGGCGGTACTCTTCAGCATCTTCATCAGGATGTTCGCGAGAGTGGTGTTGCACCCAGACCGAAGAGACGAAACACTGCGAACAAGAAAGAGAGACGAAGAACTCAGTCCATCAATAATGCTTTTTCTGACCTCAGAGAATGCATTCCTAACGTGCCCTCGGATACAAAATTATCAAAGATCAAAACTTTAAGATTAGCCGCATCCTACATTGGATATTTGATGGCGGTATTGGAAAGTGACGAAGGAGAAGAACCTCAGACCTTTCGCGCGGAGATCCTTTCGAGTGGTAGAAGGAATAAAGCGACTCAACCTAATCAAGTAAATAACTAATTTAGTAATTATTTCTTATTATGCAGTTGGGAAAGGGTTAATTGAAGGAAAGCAAGAGGTAAGAGAGGAGAGATGAGAGATGTGTTGCGAGAATGTGTGTATGAGAAGAAGTTTTACTCGAGTATCTAATAATTTAGCTAAATGTAAATTTAAAAATAATTTTGTTGGATTTTAAAAATAATTATGTAGAATGCTCAAATGCTGGTTGCTAGAATGTCAAAACTTCTTGCAATATTCATCATGCTTGAATTTCTTACATAACGGTCCAATAAAAATTATTTTCAAATCTATATCTAACATTACCTAAATTTTTAGATATTTCACCAAAAATTATTCTTTCTATAAATGAAAGTATGAAAATAAAACATGAGATTGTAAAAGAAACTTAAGTTCAAACAGGTTAAACTAATAATAATGTGTTATGAGATAGGGCATATGTGTACAATTTAAAAAGTGATAAAATAAATTAAATTAGGATAGTTTAAAATTTTATGTTTTTTTAATTCTTTTCTTTGTCTGACTAATATTGTTGTAATGTAAAATAATTGTAATTCTAAGGGAAGTGATAAATATATTACTATTATTAAAAACTATTATTAATTATACAATTACATTATATAATTGCAGCACATTATATAATTTCAAGATATAATGTTACGGTATATATAGAATAGTCTGTATAATTTATTTAAGATAAAACAAAAAATGAGGATTACAGGAGGGGGGGGGAGAGAGAGAGAGAGAGAGAGAGAGAGAGAGAGAGAAAGAGAGAGAGATTATTCTGCTATCTAAAAAAGCAGAATAAATTTAAAAAAGAAAGATTTTGCGGAATGTTTACATTTAAAAGAATGAAAAATAAAGTTCATAAATTGATAACAATTATTTTTTAAATAATAGCCACGTAAATTAATTGATAATTTTATATGAAAATAACAAAAAGCAAAGTTTACGCTTAATAGCAACTTTTAACAGTTGTTATTTAACAGTTGTTATTAGAAACATATAATAACAAGGCAATGCTAACATATTTCTATTTATTTATCTTCGCTTTTTCTGCTTCTCGTTCTTTGTTCATTTTCATACATTCTTGAGATTTTTTTATTCTTCCGAAAAGTTCTAAAGAATTTCGAGAGCTACTCGAGGTTGCTTATGGTTTTTGATCGCGGGTTTGAAAGGTCTTCAGGATAAATTATTTCGTGTCTTGTAGACAGATTTTCTTAAATCACTCAAAACGATTTTATAAGCATTGCGTTCCATAACATAAGCATTCACCTCTATAATTATATTCGTAATATTCGGCTTGAGAACTCAATTTTTAAATCATCATGATTTAAATCATGATTAAAAAGTATCAATATCATATAACCTTACTATATTTCATATAAATTCTAATAAAACTAAAGATCACGAAAAAATAATTTTGTTGAAATTTGCTTTTGTTTAACAAATTAATTGATATGGCAAACACAACACAATTAAGAAACGATTCAATTCAAATCATAAAAAGCTGTTGCAACTAATGATTTTACAAATACAACTGATTACTTCAAAAATTCTTTGTATAAAACATTAAAACATTATTTGAATTTAGTTTTATTCTAATAATGGGCCTTTCGTCGAAAGGTCATTGTCTTTAGAGAACTAGAAAGAAACTAGTATTATTACAGGAAAACAAAGAAAATTTGAGTCAATTTTCTGTCTAATTCTCTTCTAATTCTAAAGTTCGGAAACAATTTACTTTCCTTAAACCCGTATTTTGTGGTTTCCTTCATTTTCTGCGATCGTGGGATTACCGCCCGCGTAGAATTTTTCCTCTTCAATAAAGATCACTAATAACTCTTACTCGTAGCCCATACTCTTCGTCTCTTAAATAAATTTGTCAGACAATTCTCCATATCTGAAGGTTTTACGTCTATTAAATTAAAGACGAAATGAAAAAAAGCATTCAGATTTTAGAGTTACATTAGTTACACAGACAAGATTAATTTTTGATGGGGACATATGTCATCGAGTACTTTTATTTCTTCACAGAATGAATCGTGTTTGCAATCTGCCTCGAATCTCAGCCATGAAGAACCGACGAAGAGCAAAGGACGGACGGGTTGGCCGCAGCACATGTGGGCCCTCGAATTGAAGCAAGAATCACCGACCAACCAAATGCAATAAAATACCGGAGACATCACTGTCAAAACATATCCGCGATATTTCATAAAATATTGCTCGAAACGATCGTTCCTTTTTTCGCGTGACATTATTATTTACCGTCGCGTCCGAAAGAAAGTATGGTCCGTGATTTAAATATCATCTTTCAATCATTTTCGATTGTTTCGTAGAATTATAAAAAAATTCAAAATTTAATATATAATTTCGCGTTGATGAACTGTTTTATTAAAAAAAAGTTCTAAACTTTGAGAAAAATGAGAAGTCGCGCCTGGAAAAAGATATAATTATTCGGTGTAAAAAGAGTGAAATTATTTTGTACATAATATGCGTTTATGATTGTTGTGTGTTGTACATAGTTTTGTTCCTTTTATAACAATTGGTATTCATACTTGGAGCCAAAGAATATTATTTTGTCGATGAATCTTTTTTCGTAAGTTAATAATAACGATTAAATTATAATTAAGATTACGATTTTGGATTGAATAACATGTCGTTAATTAGAATTAAGAACCTTTGTAAAGTTTTGTATAAAGTACCGTTATCGAAATGTATAAAATGTCACCAGCAATAAATGTACCATAATAAAATGTAATATTTTATTTTTTATCTTTTTAATAAATTATTTTCTCAAATAAAAAATCTATAAATGTGAAAATAATAATACATGTACAAATATAAATGAAACCGAAAATATGAAACATATCTGACATTATGTCATAAAACCTCTTACTTGTATAAAAACTTACAAACGATTCATTTTCTCATTAAATTTTTATAGAAAAAGGAAATTTCATAATTCTTTCGCGTAAATTACATATTAAAACAAATAAATATATTTAATCTAATAGAAATATCGAAAAATCAATTTAGCTTATGAAATATTTTGTATTTTATTCTTAATTTAATTTTAAAAACTTTCTTCTTACAGCTAAGTAGGTTTCGACTTCTAAATAGATCTTCAAAGAAGAAAATTTCGAAAATTAAAAATATTCATGAAAATGAAGACTGCTGAAACTTTCGACTCTCTATTTATTATATAATATTTTATATCTCTAAAAATAGCAAAGATATTATGCATAGATGGACAGAGTTACTATTCTGTTATGTGTGTGTGTGTGTGTGCGCGCGTGTATGCGCGCGCGCGCGCGCGTGTGTGTGTATAAAATACATATAATAACATATCCCGTACTTCTCAAAAAAAGAAGCCGTGAGAAGTTCTCCTTCTCTATCTTTTTCTTCTACTCAACTGGCCTATTATAGACGAAGAACTCATTGTGCAGAACGTTTGGTTTCGAATTTCGAGGCTACCCTGGCGCCAGTACTGGATCCCATATAACGTGTCTGATATTTTACATGTAACTAATATGTAACTATACATCCCCAGAAAAAATTATTAGTATCTTTATCCCTACAGCACGACAGTAGATAGCATCTTTATATATATATATATATATATATA